AGTCGGAATTGACCCTTTTTTTTTTTAATAGCCTTTGTGCACAGCCAGCCTTGTACTCTTCTAGGTTCAAAAAACTGTCGTCCATAAAATGCGTTGCACAAATTCGAACATCTGGGTTGTGCTGTTCTGTTGTAAATAAACCTTAACCAATGATTCCTAATTGTATCTACTTCCGGAAGGCCAAATAAAGTGCTTTTGCTTTCGCACTGAATCACACAGCGTCTCCCTGACATGGCTGCATCAACACTGCTGTTCCTGAAACCATGCCTTCTTTCTTTGCGTGCACATTTGGGCGGCATTATGCTAATATTTCCACATAGTGAGGTAGATATGTGGGGGCGTGTTAGAACGAGCCATTTTAGGTAGGCGTGGCTGACTCTTAACTTTTATAAAGAATATCTCTTTGGATTTGAGACTTTAGTCTTTGCAACTTTACAGATCTTCTTTATGCACCAAGAGCTTGTAACACTCCAAAGAGAAAGGAAAAATTGAAATCGCATCATATGACCCCTTCAATTAAATATTTAAATGCTCTGGTATTTCAATTTTTACATTTTCCTGTTAACACAAAACAGCTAAGAAATCTGAGGTAGGCTGAGGATGTGTAAATGCTGCTTTCTTTCCTATAATATAATCAACTTCTATTATTACATTACAGCTAATGTGAAGCCATGCTACTCTAGTTTTACAAACGTTCTCTACCTCGTTCTGCTTTCAGATGGATCTTCCTAAAAAATTCCACATAAAAAGCTTTTTTTCCCTTTTTCCCCTAAACATGGAAAAGGAAACATATTGCTAGTCAAGGCCACACAAAAAGCTCCAGCTATGCACCTCCTGTGGAACAGGAACCCAACAAGGACTTATTCACCACTGCTCCCTGGGCTTTTAATGATGGGATGGGGATCACAGGATTTTCTAACCCCTGTAGAAACATTATATGATCTCATGACTTCACTGTAATGTAATCACAATATTCTTAACCATATGGTTGGTCAACACTGACAAAAAGAAACAAGCTGTTCTTTCGAACATGTACAACCCATATGTGACCCTGGACCACAAAACCAATCAGAAGGGTCAATTATTTTGAAAATGAGATTTATACATCAGCTGAATAAATAAGCTTTCTATTGATGTATGGTTTGTTAGGATA